ATTAAAATAATTTGGTGTTATTAACACATGCAATCTTTACAGCTTCTATTACAACATCTAAACATCATTATTTCTAGTGTATAACTTTCTTTTCATATCTTACAACCATGAATTGAGCTTAGAATATTTTTTTATGTAAAAGAAAGCTATCAAGTTTTAAATAGAATTACTAACTAATACTTCTATTACACTACCTTATCAATGAATAATTAAAGTTAAATAATATTATTGAAGGCGTTTTTAAATTTTCACAAGAATATTTTTTAATATATATTATTATTACATATAAAAATTATTTTGTGACTTCATTGCTCATTTATTGAGCTTTTAACTTTTTAATATTGTCTGTTTTAAAATCTCTTTTATTGTTAATCATTTTATTATTAATTACTTTAAATCAAAGTATGTCTTAAGCAACAATTATTTCATTAGTTTTATAAGAAATTAAATATTACTGTTTAATAATATTAAATAGATAAGTAAATTAAAATTTAGTTTAATAGTAATGTTTTTTAATTTTTCTATAAAAAATGAAGTATCTTATTAATAATAAATCAATTAAAAAATTTTAATAAAAATCTACAATAATTATAAATAACTAAAAAAATTTAATCTTTTATTTATTATCATCATTTTTATTAAAAAATTCTTTAACATAACTTGCTTTCTCTGCAACACTTTTTAAAGATTCTTTTAATTGATTTAAATCCTCTTTAAAATTTGGTTCTTCTTTAGATATAACGTTATTCTTTAACTTTTCTAAATTATACTTTGATTTTTCTACTAAACTCTCAATATACTGGTTTAAATAATAAATGATTCTAGCTTTATTGTTACATTCATCAGGAAACAATCTTTGTAATATTAAAACACCTTTGTTAACAAAATATAAAATATCACCCTCGTTATAAAACATTAAATATTCTTTAATAAACTCCACTGATTGTAAAACAAAATTAGACTTATTAAACTCAAAATTTTTAAAATCTTTTTTAAAGTTTTTATGATCTGTTGCAATAGCCCTCAATTTCTTATATTTATCAATTAATCCTTCTTTATTCATATTAAACTTTTTTTCTTTTAAATCTTTAAATTTAACCTCATTATTTTCTATTTCAATATGATTATTATTAATTTCCCTCGATAAAATCTTTTCTATTATTAACTTTTTATCATCAGTTTCATTTATAAAATCTAAATAGAAAATAAATAGGAATCCATTAACTAACTTAGATGCCTTATTAGTAACTTTTATATTTGATTCAAAATCAAAATTATTCATAATACTCTCATTTTCAAGTGACTTATACTTTTTTATTATTTTCTTAGGATTTTCATTCATCACACCTTTAAAAACAAAGAAGTTTTCTATTTTTAACTCCTCTTTATCAGTTTGATCAGCAACAACAAAATCATCAATCTCATAATCATCCTTTCTATTACGTTTTTTAACACTTTTATCACCTAAATCTATTTCTAATGATTCATAAACGTTTATTTTATATTTCTTTATTTTATCACTCATCACTAAAAATTTTAATAAAAAAATAAATAATTTTATTTACTTCTGTAAAGATGTTTAGCGTCAGCTAATTTACCAGTTTTTCCACCAACATTTGATTGAGCTTTTTTATTAAAATTAACTGTATTTTTATTAGGATTATTAAACATTTCATTGTCACATTTAAATCCATCATGTTGATAGCTTTTATCAGGAACTTTTCTTCTCTTATTAAACAGACTATCCATATTAGCCTGTATTCTAGTATCATTGATTAAATCATAATATTCTCTTTCTTCTTTAGAGAGTGTATTATAATGTTTTAGATCTGGCATGACAATATCTTTCAAACTGTTAAAATCCTTATTCATATAAAAATCAATAATGTTTTTACCGTTAATTAACTCTGGTATGACATCATATTTATTTTCACATAAATAAGTATCTTTATAATTAATACTATTAAAAAATCTATTCTCACCAATATGATTAAATTCATAAGAATTCATTGGTTTATCAGTATTTATTGTGTAAAGTAAATTTTCTATTGTTTCAATATTCTTCTTGTTTTCAATTCTGTCATTCAAAATCATTTCAGCAGCAGTATCTGAAAGTAACTTGAAATTAACATTGTTTTTTGTTGTTATACCAAGATACTTTTTATCTCTTAAAAATTCTTTTAAAATTGTATTCTCACTAACAAAGTTAGTTAAACACTCATTTACTAAATTTTCATCAATTTGATTTACATCAGTCAAAACGTCAATTTTAGATAAAACAATAATGGTTTGAGAATTTAACAAAGGATTTAAATTGTTATATAATTCAATTTGTTCTTCTATTGAATGTCCTATACCAGACACATCTATAAAAAACAATATACAAGACTTTAAATGAGCTAAAGCTGTAATACTTAACATTTCTATTTTACTTCTACTATCAAGTGGTCTATCTAAAATACCAGGTGTATCAATTATTTGATAAGAAAGATCTGAATAAGTAAAATGACCACAATAAAGAGCTTGTGTGGTAAATTCATAAGGCTGTACTTCTGTCTTACAGTTAGTTATTGTTGAAATATAAGAACTTTTACCAACATTAGGGAAACCAGCTACTATTAAGGTTCTTGAATAAGGATCAATAGTAGGAAGTCTTTGTAAATGCATTCTTACTTCTTCTAAGTATTTTAATTCATCCTTTAACTTACTTACATTAGTAACCATCTGTCCCAAACCTGCTCTTTTAAGACATTTACATCTATAAAGAGTATCAGCAAACTTAATCATTTTTAAAGAATTTTTTTCAATTCCAATAATTTTACTTTTACACGTATTAATCTTACCAAGTGCTATTTTATACTGATCTCTATCATAAAGTACACTAATAAGATCTGAATAAAATGGGTGCATATCCTCCAAAACAGGAAAGTCTTTAACAATCTCATCTAATCTTGCACAAAACTCATCAGATGCAAACTTTATCTTTTTATTATAAAATTTTCTTATTCTAACTATCTCAAAGTGCTTTCTTATTATTGTTGGTGTCTTTCTATTAGTCTTATTTAAACAGATATCAATTAGTTCATCTGCTTGTGGAACTTTAGTAATTGGCATTATAAATTTTCTCATTGATTTTATGGGATAAAAAATTTTACAAAAAATATTAAAATTTTTTATTCAACGAATTTTTTAGCTTGACTTCTATTCTTTTTAACAAAATTCAAATTTTGTTTGTCTTTATAAATTTTACCAATTTTATCATGATAAACTGATTTAAAAACGTTTTTTTGTTTTTTATTTTTAACAGGAATAGACATGTTAAATTTTTCTTCATTAAAGTAATAATCATTAACTTTAAGCTCAATAGATGGACCTATTTCATCCAATGACATATCTTTCAATATTCTATTATAACTAATTTTTATAATTCCATTGATTTCATTGATCACCCATGAATAATTAACACTATCTAAGTTAATTTTTAAACTTCTGTTATTAAAAACATCAATAAATAGATTAATTAACCTCTCGTCTTTTAAATTAGAGATAATTAAAGCACTCTTGGAAAATACTTCGGGTGGTATTTTATTATATTCTTTAAATGACTTGGTGTTAATTATATCAAATTTAACTAAATCAATTAAATCTTTATTAAATATCCTTCCAATAACTAATTTATATTCGCTATTTTCTTTAAGTGATGAGATAAATAAATTAGCTTTCTTTTTCTGACAATAAGCAATAGCTTTTGATGATTCTTTATAATTCTCATTTATATGAATTGAATTACCTCTTAACTTTAATATTTCTTTAATAACTTCTAATTCTGACTTGTTTATTGATAATAAACTCTTTCTTATTATTGAATTTTTTAATTTGCTCATCTAAAAAGTTATGTTTAAAATTTTTTAATTTTTAAATTTAAATTTCACATGAATAATACTCAGATAGAAAAATCATTCAATAATTATTTAAATAGTGTAGAACAAGTTCAAAGAGGAATAGAAAGAGTTATAGACTCTAATGAAGAGACATTTTACATTGATTTGGAAGAATTGAGAGAAGAGGATAGAGATTTATTTATTCAGATACAGAGTGATTTTAGAAGTAAATATGCTATCCTATCACAAATATTTAGTTCATATTGTGAAGCTAAGTATGATAAAAAGATAGAATTAAGTTTTAAGAATCCTACTAACGTATTAAAGGTAAGAGAACTTAAATCTGAAGTTTTAGGTAGTTTAGTTAGTTTTGAAGGTACTGTAACTCGTACAACTCAAGTGAGACCAGAATTAGTTTATGGTACATTTAAATGTAAAGATTGTTCAACTATTATTAGAGATGTTGAACAACAGTTTCAATTTACTGAACCAGCTATTTGTCCTAACATATCAATGTGTAATAATAGGAAAAAGTTTGAAATAATGCCTGAAGAGTGTGTGTTTTCAAACTGGCAAAGAATTCACGTTCAAGAGAATCCTAATGAGATACCAAAAGGTTCATTGCCTAGACATGTTGATGTTATTGTAAGAAATGAATTATGTGAAAAGATTAATCCAGGTTCTCATATGGTATTCACTGGAACATTAATTGTGATACCAGATTCATCATCTCTTAAAATGCCTGCAACAAAGTCAGTTGGTGAGTATAAAGGAATTTTAGATAAAGAATTTAAGAACAAAAGATCAAAAAGTAAAGAACTTAATTATAAAATGAGTTTCTTTTGTATTGCAGCTGAACTATCTGTAAGAAAAGTAACAAGAACACCAATTGATATTGTAACTATTCAAAATACACCTGATATTTACAATAAGTTATCAGAATCATTATTTCCATCAATTCATAGCCATCAAAACATTAAAAATGCTATTTTACTTATGTTAGTTGGAGGTGTACAAAAGGATGTTGGTATTAGATTGAGGGGTGATATTAACATTTTATTGGTAGGTGATCCTGGTACTGCTAAGAGTCAATTTTTAAAACAAACAAGTTCATTTCTTGAAAGGTCTGTTTATACTTCTGGTAAATCTTCAAGTGCAGCTGGATTAACAGCAGCAGTTACGAGAGATGTAGAAAGTGGTGAATTTACTATTGAAGCAGGTGCACTTATGTTAAGTGATTTGGGTGTTTGTTGTATTGATGAGTTTGATAAGATGACAATTAAGGATCAAGTTTCTATACATGAAGCTATGGAACAACAAACTTTAACTATAGCTAAGGCTGGAATAAACGCTACTCTTAATTCAAGAGCTTCTATTTTAGCAGCTGCTAATCCTGTCAAAGGAAGATATGATCGTAAAAAGACTTTAAAACAGAATGTTAATTTAAGTTTACCGATTATGAGTAGATTTGATCTTTATTTTGTTTTAATAGATAAAGCAGATGTAGAAAATGACAGAATGATATCTAAATGTATTTTAAGGAATCATCAAAAGTATAATGAAGCTGATGAACTTCAAGATGATTTTTCTTATTTCTCAGTTGAAGATGTGATTCATTTCATAAAAGAAATTAAAACAAGAACACCGATTATTAATGAAACGGCTTCTCAAGAACTAAATATTGCTTATAATAAGTTAAGACAAGAAAGTTTGGTAAATAAGAATAATTATTCAGTAACAATTAGACACTTAGAAAGTTTAATTAGATTAAGTGAAGCTTTAGCTAAAATTCATAATTCACCTGAAGTTAATAGTGCTCATATTAATGAGGCAGTTAGATTGTTGAAGTCTAGTTTTGTTGAAGTTAGGAAGAGTGATATTATTTTAAGTTCAAATCAGGAAAATAATTTAAATGTTACTATTAAACAAAGAGAATATGAAAGTATAACAAATTCTCTTATTTATTTGGTTAAATCTAATGAGTTAAGTAAAGATGAGATTATTTTAAAATACTTAGAGTTGGTAGAAGATACGATTGAAAATGTTCAAATGATTGATGTGATTAAGAAAAAGGTTAATCAAGTGGTGGAGTTTTTAATTACAAATGAGGGTGTTTTATATGAAGTTGAAAATGTTTTATTTGTTCATCCCAACTTTGATTTGTAAATAAAAAATTATAATTTTAATTTTTTAAATCTTAAATTAATATAAGATTGGATTTTATAAGTTTAAAACTAGTAAAGTTGTAAATAAATTAAAAATATTATAATTTTTTTATTAGATAATTAAATAAATATAGTATATTTTTATTTAAATTATGATTAATAATTTATAATGTAAGTAATTACTTAGTATTTTATCATAAAATTTTGTTTTTATTTTTTTAAAGAAAATATATATTATTTTCCTAATTAAGAAAATAATTTTAACATTTTGAATTATTTGTACTTAAATATTAATTAAGATTGTAAAAGGTATTTCTATTCCAATACTTAAAGATAAAAAATAAGAGGATTTGTTATTGTTATTGATTTTTGACATTGTTTATTTTGATTTATGTAATAAATTCAGACTTGTATATTTACATATAAAATGTCTTTTAGAAACTTTATGTGTAGAGTATTGTACTGCCAGGAACCAACCATTGAATTAGAGAATACTAAAGTAGAGGATAACACTGAGGATAAATCAGCTATTAATATACATGAAAATTCCAATTTAGGAAATGTAAACACTGATGAAGATAAACAAGTTTTAATAGATATGATCTATGATAATATAGCTGATCTTAGAATAAAGGAAGATGTACTTACCATAATTGAAGCTCATGAAGATTCAGAGTATATACCTAGCAATGGTGTTACTTCATTAGAGGAAAGTATTTCTTCTAGTGATAAGGCTAAATCTATTAATGGTGAGGTCGAATTTATTAATGATGAGGTTGAATCTGTTGATGGTAAGGTTGAATCTGTTGATGGTGAGGTCGAATTTATTAATGGTGAGGTTGAATGTATTGATGGTAAGGTTGAATCTGTTGATGGTAAGGTCGAATGTATTGATGGTGAGGTTGAATGTATTGATGGTAAGGTTGAATCTGTTGATGGTAAGGTTGAATCTGTTGATGGTAAGGTCGAATGTATTGATGGTGAGGTTGAATGTATTGATGGTAAGGTTGAATCTGTTGATGGTAAGGTTGAATCTGTTGATGGTAAGGTCGAATGTATTGATGGTGAGGTTGAATCTGTTGATGGTAAGGTTGAATCTATTGATGGTAAGGTTGAATCTGTTGATGGTAAGGTCGAATGTATTGATGGTGAGGTTGAAGGTAAGGTTGAATCTGTTGGTGGTAAGGTTGAATGTATTGATGGTGAGGTTGAATGTGTCAATGATAAGAAAAAATCTGTTGATGGTGAGGTTGAATGTGTTGATGTAAGATAAAGTCTGCAAATGATGAGGTTGAATGTGTTGATGGTAAAGATGTGGAATATCTTAATAAGGAATATGTTGATCAATCTATTTTAATTGAGAAAATAAAAAGCACATATGATGATGAAGAATTAAAGAAGCCAAAGGTCACAATTCCAGAAAGAACCTTTTCATTCCAAGATTCTCTTAACATATACAAGGAATTATCATCCAGGCCATATTATAGTTATAAATCACCTGTAAAAGATGAATCAAGTAATTATGCTTCTTATATAGAAAAAATTACTTCATTCTTTGAATACAGAGGTGTTAATTTAAAGATATCTAACCTGCCATCTAATAATATTAATTCACCCAAAGATTCAAACAACACCATCAACGATATGAAGAAATCATTCTTTGATTTCAATGAATTCCATGACGAGAGAAAGCTTTAAATTAAGAGAGAAAAATTATACGCTATGGGATTCGACATAGACACTGCAACAATCTTAACAACCATCAATAAATAAGATTTAAACAATTTTTATTATGTTTTTATAAATTTTGAGTATAATTTGTTTAAATTTTAAGGATTAAGTGAAAAAATTTTCTCATAATAAAAACAAGTAATAAAAAATTATAAGTAAATCAGTTTTATCAAATCTCAATAATTTATATAATGTATTATTTGACTTTAGAATATTTTTCTAATTAATTTTAACAAATTAATTCAAGTTTAAATTATACAATTCCTTTACATGTTTTAATGGTATATTTGCAATTGTTCCACACACTTTCGATGTTCTGAGTATGAATACCGTTAGTGTGATTTATAAACCTTTCACTGTGATTAACAGTGAAACGTGGAAATCTTAACCTACTACTTACATTTAAATATGCCATTCAATGATCACTATGTATTACTGTTTTTGAGGCACGAACTCGTTCTATTGTTAGTACTAGAATGTTAGCAATCCTGTTAGAAATAATATGTAATAAGATTTTTTTAGAATAAATAAACAATTAACTAGTCCAAATCTCTCTTACAGGTTGTCCACCCCGATAATATTTCTGTTTGTGACTAAATAACCTTTCGAGTATTTGGATAATCATACTATTTATTAAGGCAAATTGTATTTTCAGTTTCATGTTTAAAACATTTATTACGAAGTAATTCAATAATTTTAATAATTGACTTTTTCTCAATATTTTCTCAGTACCTATCTGTACATGAGTACGATTATTAATCATTTACAAACCACTAATAATATAACTCTCAAAGGTACAGTGAAGCCTGATAATAGTAATTTGGTACGTATTGAAATATACTTAGAGAAATCATTGCAACTTCTATTACAACACCTGAACACCACATCATCACTTTTTTTAATACAAAGCCTAATTTTCATATCTTTAAGACATGTTCTATACTTTACATACCTTTTGAATAAATCTTTAATTTATAGAAATTCTATTCGATCTTCCACAGGACCACTAACTAAGGATTCTATTATACTACTAATCCAATGAATCACGGATTAAAAACTTTTTAAACAACATTTTTTTAAGTTTTTATTTCAACTTTTGTACTTGGTAAAATTTTAATTAAAAAATATAACTTATATTTAAATAAAACTTATTAAATTTGTAATAAAATTATTGATATTATTAAAGATTTATGTAGAAATTTAATAATAATAAAAAGTTTGTAAGTATCATTTAAATACCTTTTTAAAATTAAAAACGTTTTAAAATATATAATAAATTAGTATTAATTTTTTTAAAACAGCTATTAAATAAAAACATTTATTCATTTTGTGAAAACAATGTTAAAAAATCAAGTATTTCTTGCTTATAATTTTCAAAACCATAATTTAAATCAATTTTAGCAAAGATTATCTTTGGTATAACATTAAACAATTCATATGCTGCCTCATCAACTAAATCAAAAAAAACAGTGTATTTACAAAATCTTGGTTTTTTAATACTTAATTTCTTAAACAAATTTAAGGAATTTGACATGTTTTTTTCATGGTCTAAAGAGTCATATTTCTTTTTAATTTGATAAAAACCTTTTTCAATATCTTTATCATTTTCTAAAGATTGCTTTAATAAAGATCCCATCTTAATTAATAATTGAATAAGTTCTTTTATATAATTAAAATGATTTAGCCGATTTAATTTAAATTTTTTTTTAAATTTAAAAACACTGTTAATGTGAGTCAAAAAGTTATAATCCATCTTTTTTAAATCTTCTATGTTACATGATTTAACAATCATAGCAGCCTCTAAAAGAAACTTTTTCATAAAATAATGTTCCAAAAGTACACAATGTTGTATGATTAAATCTTGACTATATCTTCTAAAACTAATATACTTAAAGTATAAAAATAAACGACCAAATCCCTTTATAGAAGAAACAGACTCATTATTTGAATTAGTCTTTTTTAAAACATCAAGTAACTTTGAATTATTCTTATCTAGATATTTTTCAATTCTTTGATGAATGGAGATATTTTCACAATAATTTAAAATTTTGATTTCATCTTCTACAAATAAAAAGTTCTCAAATAAATCATCAGTTAGTTTTTTAAAAAAGAACCAACAAATACTTTGAATTTCGGTTAACTTTATAAAATCATTATTAGTATTAATCAAGTTTTCTAAGTATGTTTTTGTATAATAATTATCTACTTTACTAAGTTTTTCACAATATTTTTTTAATGATTGCATTTCTTCATTAAACTTAAATTCTCTTTCTTGAATTTTAAGTATTTTTCTTAATTGTAAAATTTCTTTAATGTTATTAAATTCATATTTATACATATTAGTATTTAAACCAAAAGTCGTTTCTGATATTGCTAAATTATTAATTATATTGATTAAAATCATGGGTAAAAATATTTATTGATTTTTATTTTTAAAAATCAGATTGATCTTTTAAAGTTTATTAATTAAAAGTTTATTTATTAATAATTGTAATTTATATTACAAAAACTTCTATTTATTTTAAAAATTATTAATAATCCAAAATTAATTTTAATCAGTAAAAATTAATTTATATTTTAATAAAATAAAAACATTCTTTTTAATTTATAAAGTAAACAAATTATTTTTATAATAAAATTTTTATTTTATTGATCATTTAATTTTTATAAAAAAGACCCATCAATACTCAATGAAAAATGATTTAAGAAATTTTATAAAGAACATATCTAAAGGTAGCTATAATAATTATCTCAACTATGATCTCTATAACAATGAATTTATCTCTATTTCATCACCAAATTTAAATTTAGGAAACAAATTAGAAATCACTAAAACCCTTACAAAGAACATTCAGTTAACATCTATTATGACGAAATTCAACAAACAATATTTTCTAACTTTATTTAAAGATTTCCATGGATTAAGTTTTATAAATTCAACAGTATTCCAAGCAAGTCACGAATTAAATGGAGTATCACAGCTCAAATGTTCTGTTCAAATGTTTAAGAATTTATTAAATGTTAAATACGATACGATAGTTAATAAAAACAAAGAAGTATTTTCACAATTAGAAAATTTTATAACCACACAAAATAACGCTTTTTGTTTAAAGTTGATAAAACATTCTTTCGAATCTTCTAATTTGATTTATATTTTTAACTACTGGAAAAATTTTGGATTTGCTTGTGCGGGTGCAGAAGTGGTAGGATTTAATAATAATTTATCCTTTAATTTCTGTGGAAGAGTATCTGATGATTATAATGTTATTGGTGTTTCAGTAGAAAAGTTTAACATATTCACAACAAGTTTTTATAGAAAATTATATAAGAATATTGAAATGGGTGTTGAATATACTGAGAACAGAGATACAAAAAGAAAAACGGGTATAATTGCTTGTAGAATGAAGAATATGAGAAGTGAATTTAAATTTACTGTTAATAATTTATTAGAATATTGTTTTAGTTGGGATGAATATTTAACTAGTAATTTAGTAGTTGGTTTATCAGGAACTTATTGTAACAACACATTGAATTATGGATTTCACTTTACTTATGATATTTAAATTTTTATATGAAATACTTTTATTAGAAAAACATAAATATAAAATTTAATAAATTTTTATGCCCTAATAAATGAACACAGATGATTATAAAGTTATTGTAAATAGATTAAAAGATAGTGATAGTGAAATAAGAATGTCATCTATTAACTTATTACATAATGAAATAAGGGATACTGCAGGTACTATTACTACGAAACAGATGAAATTGTTTGATATTGTTGAAGACTTAAAGGGTGTTGCTATGAATTTATTAACAAATAGTGAGAAACAACATTTATTTGATTTAATCTCAGTGTTAAGTACATCTGCTGAGACTGATTCAACATTTAATGTGTTATCTTATAGACTGAAGGGTAATATTACCCCATTGGATGATTGGGGTCATCAGTATGTAAAACAACTGATTAAAGGATGTCTTGAGGTTAGAAATGGTAATTATGAATCTTGTGATTATACTAAACTTGTAGAACCAATAACAGAGTTTTTATTTAAAAGAAATTGTGAGGTAGAAGCTTTGGATTTTTTGACTGATATTTCTGAAATTTCCAATGATGTTGTTGTTGATTTTATTGAGTCCTCAAGCGGTGGTTTTATAGTAAATAGACTTGATCTTATATCGAAATATACCGATGAACATAACTTTAATAGAGTTTACGAGTATTTAGATGAGTTAAATAGATTTTATGTACTTGATGATGTTTTATTTGAATTAAATAAGGAAAATCCTTCAAAGTATTTAGTTCATTTGATTAAGTTGAGGAAGTTTGATAAAGCAATTGAATATGTTGAATCTATAAAAGATAGAAATTTAAAAAAACAATGTTTATATATTCTAGCTAGATGTAATATATCTTATTTTTGTAGTGACGAAGATAACAAGATATTAAATAATACACACATATTAAAATATTATCACGATACTGCTAAAGATTTAGAAATAGAAGAGAGTAAAAAGATTGATTATATTTTAAGAGGAATAAGTAAGGAGAAAATAGATACTACAGCAATCACTAATGGATTGATTCATATGGGATTTGGTAGAGATCCAGTATTTTTTCAAACACCTGGTGATTTTTCTGTTAAAGGTGATTTACTTTCCTTATTAAATCACAGTGATAAAATTACAACAGTTAAAGCATCTGTTGGGCTTATACTGGCATTTGATCCGGAAACTTTCTTAAATAAATATCAGAAAGAAGTTTACTTTGAAAAGGATATTTCTATTCTATTAGGACTTGCATTATCTTCTTATAGGAATGTTGCCATTTGTGAGTTGTTAGTTCCCATGTTAAATGAATTCTTACTATCTGATAATCAAGAAGATGTTATTATTGCTATTTACGCACTTTCACATGTTTATTCAGGAGCTATTAATATTAATATTGATAAAGGTTTTATGATGGAGAATATATTTCCTTTAATATCACATCACACTGATGATGTTGTGTTAATGACTATATATTTTATGGGTGTTCTTTATATGGGTGATGGAAATATTGATGTTCTTAACACTTGTATTGAAACCTTTATAGATAACAGCAAAAGTAATTCTCAGTTTTATTATTTAGCTTTACTTGGCCTTGGTATGTTTTTCTATAAACAACCCCAGTTATGTGAATCTAGTGTAATGTTGAATTTAGATGATACTTTATTAGCGTTAGCATTAGGATTTATGTATGTTGGAACTGGTAATACTGATATTATAAATAAGATTATGGAACTATCATTTGGAGAAGATGAGAATCCAACTAGAGAAGTTATTGGTATGATATCGATAACATTAGTATCACTTAGTGATAAATTAGCTACTAATCAAATTGAAAGTGTTTTAAAGAATTTTTATCAAATTAAAACAGTTGGTGTTAAAAATATTATTCCATTGTGTTTATCATTGCTTTATGCATCAAATACTAAAGTGGAAATAATTGATTTTTTAGAAAAAACTGTAAATTCTAAAGAAAGTAATGTTACATCGATGATAGCTTTAGGTATTGTAGGTGCTGGTACTAATTCATCAAGAATACATAAGATTATTAATGGTCATTTTAATTCATTTTATAAAGATTATAAGACTGCTAATGCTCTTATATACTCTCAAGGATTATTAAGTTTAGGTAAGGGAATGTTAAGTCTTAATCCAGTTGCATATGATGGAAATGTTATAATAGATAAGTCATTAATAGGTTTATTATCTACTATATTCTTGTTTATTGATGAGAAAGATAACTTCTTTAAAGATTATAGTTATATGCTTTATTCAATAGCTCAAGCAGCTACACCTAAGTATGTTGTAGGATTAGATTCAGAAATTAAGGTAGGTTTACCTGTAGATACAGTAGGATTATCAGGTAATCCAAATAAAATATCAGGTGTTGTCATTCATAATTTACCTGTTTTGTTAAATTGTAATGAAAAAGCTGAGATAATGAAAGATGTTTTATCTGATTATATTGAAGATGTGTTAGTACTTAAAGAGTAATTAATAAAAAGTTATTAAAAATTTTTAAAAATTTTAAATAAAAAAATGAAAGAAGAGTTGAGCAAAGATAAATTAATTTTTATATCAAGAAATCAATTTGAGTATGAAATGATCAAAGAAAAACTAGAAAATTACACTTATGAAGAAGATGAAGGTGTATTTGTGACAGAATATAAGGCAGGAAAAATAGATGGTGTATTAAGCTTTACTCCTAAAGAATTTCATTCACTACTTAATAAATCAATAGAATTTGAGAAAATTGAACCAATCAATTATGATTTTGATTGGGTTAAAGAAGAGAATTTTAGTATTTGTTACTCAAATAATGTATTTGCAACATATACAGTTGATAACAAGAGTATAGTAGAAAAATACGAAGTCAATAATATTTCAAAAGCATTTTATTCACCAGATGGAACTATACTAGCCTTTGTAAATAATCAAACATGTAAATTTATTGCTAACGATGCAAATAACTTAGTACTTGAAATTGAACTTGAGAGTAGTATAAATAAGGTAGTTTTTAGTAATAATATAAACCAAACATATGCTATTTTAGAAACAGATAAAAATTATTATGTGTTAGATGTTAATAAGAACAGTGAATTACTTAAGTTTTCATCACAGTCGTATGAAATTACATACAGTGGTGTTTATTTAAAAGATGACAACATGTTTATGAGATTTGATGATGAAATAGTTTCTGAAGTAAAATGTGATAAAATATTTTTTAGTGAAACAGATGATAGAATAGTAGAATTCTATAAAAATGGTTCACAAAAGATTGTTATAAAGAAAGATAATCAAATAATTAAAACCAAAACATTTAGTAGTATCATTGATATTCACGTAGCTTTTAATACAAATCAATGTATCTGTGTTTTTAAAAACAAGAATTCTTCTACTTTTATAAGCATATTTGAAGGTGATTTAATCACTAATAAGCTTATTGATATTAATGTGAATGAAGTATATGCAACTGATAATAGACTTGTAATTGTTGATAGTTTATTTAAATTACATGTTTTTGTAATAAAAACTAATTCAATTGATTTTAAAGAAATTATAAATAAAAACAATGAAGTCAAACTGTCATTAAATAGAGATGTAATTGTATTATTTGATTATATGGAATCAAATATAGAATTTTATGATAATGAAGTTTGTAGAACTAAATTTACGTTTAAAAATTGTTCTGATATGAAATGGAGTTGTAATAAGCTTTACTTGGCTGTTTATTCATATGAGACTGCTGGTAATAATTTACAAATTTTTAACTTAAATGGAAAGTTAATTTTTAAAAAGAATTTTGACAATTTAAGATCATTTGAATGGAGAAATTATAAAGTGATTGATTCAGTTACAAGAGATTTAATAATTAAAAATAACTCTGAAAGCATATCAAAGTTAATAGAAGATGATAAAGAAATTTTAGTTGATAAATCTGAATTGATTAAACAGTGGAGAGATTATCTTTTAACAATTAAACAATAAATTGATTTGATTATAAAAAGTTTTTTTAATAAAAAATTAGAAATAAAGTTATTTAATTATCAACATCTGTTGTGTCATTTTTAAAAAATCTTGTAATTGTTTGATTTGTATGAGAAATAAATCTATGAAAATTAAATTGTTTAGTTTGACTCTCTTGAACTTTATTATTAATTTCATTATTTTTGTTGCTTTTATTTTGATTATTTACTGTTTCTTTATTCATAATTTTAATTACTAAAATTTTATTAAAAAATTCAAACGAAAATTTTATTCAATTTTAAATATTAATTCATCATTTTGAATAGCATTAGTAGCATCAACATTTTCATTAATATGATTTATATGAATAATTTTAAGATTATCATTATTATTAAACTCAAGTGCTAATTTAGAAATAGTTCTAATAAAATTATCTTTAATAAATCTCTTAAGGATTCTACCACCAAACTTACTTTCACTTGCTTTAACTACTGCTGTATTAATTACATAAGAACTAACAACTACTTTAAGATTTTTACTAATTAATTTTCTATTAAACTCATCAATTTCATACAAAAGAATTGATTTAAGTGCATAATAATCTAATTTCCTAAATGGGATAATATTATCAATTCTATTGATCAAAGGATGACCAAATCTGGAAACTAAAATATTTTCTAATTTATCAGGATCATTAACATACTCAGCACCTAAATTAGTAGTCATAATAATTACACAATTCCTAAAAGAAACTTTATCACCTCTTCCATCAGTAATACGACCCTCATCAAGCATTTGATAAAGAATATTTAAATTTCTTTGATGTGCCAAATCAACCTCATCAAGCAAAACAACATTATAAGGCATTTCCTTAACAGGTTCAGTTAATGAACCACCCTCATCATAACCGACATAACCAGCAGGAGCACCAATTAACTTAGTTAAAGATATTTCAGTAGAATAATCACTCATATCAATCATAACCATATTTTCAATAGTGTCATTTAATTCTTTACAAATTTGCTTACTCAATTCAGTTTTACCAACACCAGTAGGACCAACAAATAAAAATGATCCAATTGGTTTATTTTGATCATTCAAACCAAGTCTGTTACTGATAATTGAATCACAAACAACACTAATTGCTTCATCCTGACCAAATATCTTACTTTTAATAACATTTTCCATATCAAGTAATTTTTCTGAATCATTTACTTTTAATTTACTTACTGGAATTTTACTGAGTCTTGAAATAACTTCTGCTACATGTTGTGGTTCAATCATTTCTCCTTGATCTTCAATAGCTTTTAATTTATTTTCATAAATAGGTAAAACATTTTGAGTTAAATCTAATACAGTCATTGTATCATTCTGTCTTCTAGCTAACTCTATTTTATGTTTAGTATTTTCAATTCTTTTTCTCATCTCTTTAGCTTTAAAAATATAATCTTTATCTTTATAGAATTGATCATAAAGTTCATCAATTTTAACAGAATCTTTTTCAATCAATTTTTCTACTTCTTTTAATCTTTTTTCTAAACTTTGTTTAAGTTTTTGATTTTCATCAAAAAGTCCACTTTCATTAATTATCTTAGCATTTATTCTATCAAGATCTAATTTAAGACTGGTTCTTTCAAGTTCACGACTCCATTGAATATTCATTAATGCATGTATCTCAGGTGGTTCAGAACTTAAACTTATAGCAGTTGATGAACATGCAGTATCAATTAAATCAATAGCTAAATCTGGTAATCTTCTACCAGGAATATACTTCTTACAAACACTTGCTGCATACACTAAAGCTCTATCACTAATCTTAATACCATGATGTAATTCTAATGAGTCTCTTAATCCTCTAAGTATTGTTGTTGTATCTTCTATTGATGGTTCTTTTATATCAATTTTAACAAATCTTCTTTCAAATGCTGGGTCCTTTTGAACATACTTTCTATACTCATCAAAAGTAGTTGCACCAATACATTTAATTTTACCATTTGCTAATGCTGGTTTAAGTATATTTGCTGCATCCATTGCTCCTTTACCTCCAGATCCAGCACCTAACACAATGTGTATCTCATCAATGAATAATATTGCATCTTCACTTGATTCTGTTTCCTTAATTAAATCTTTCAATCTCTGTTCAAATGCTCCTCTATATTCAGATCCTGCTACCATTGATCCAATGTCAACATTATAAATTTTCTTCTTAGCCATCATATTCTTACCATTAACGTCCATCTTAGCTATGAGTTGAGCAATACCAGATATAATTGCAGTTTTACCAACTCCTGGTTTACCTACCATTATTACATTACTTTTAGTTTTCTTACCCAATATTTCAAATATTTGTCTTATCTCATTATCTCTACCAATCACTGGATCAAGTTTATTCTGTTTAGCAAGTAATACCATTTCAACTGCAAATTTAGTCATCTTATCATCAGGATCATCTGAACTTGGTGAATTATAAGTTGACATTTTAACAACATCTTCTGATACTTTTATAGCTTCTTTTATATCTTTTTTACCCTCAGTTGATACATTATCTAAATATCTTAGACATAATAGTAATAATAGATCTATACTTATAAATTCCCCATTAGTAAGATTTTGTGCCTCTGTCAATAATTTAGTCATATCATAATCAAATCCTATATCAGTTACTATATTTCTACTTCTAACATACTGACTTAAAAATTTATCAACTATTGAAATTAAATTTTTAATGATATTACCGTCTAATTGTTTAGTTGCTCTTATTTCACTTACTTCATCTAACATTGCTGATAATACTATTATGGGAGAAATAATATTAATTCTCATTGCTACTGCCTTATCTTTAGCTTTACTAATTATATCTTCTGCTCTTTTTGTAAACTGCATTCCTTTAATCATTAAGGGATAATGAAAATTTTTTATTTATATTATTTTTTTTTCTAAGAAGTTAATTTTAGTAAAAACAGTTTCTTAGAAAATTATAAAATTTTTAATAAGAAAAGAACTTATTTTTTTATTTATTCATTAGAATTATAATTTTATTAATAAGACCTGTTTATTACTTTTATAGAAATAATAATGAATATTTAATAGGTTTTATTAACATTTTATGTGATTATTATCTTTCTAAAAAATTAGGATACAATTATGAACTTTATAGTTTATTTTGTTTAAGTGACTGTTCTTCAATAGAAAATTTATTAGTTTATTATTCTTATATGAATTTGAGACACTCAGATATTAAATTAGTTTATGATTCTATCAATCAATTAGTTAGAGGTGTTGATGATATTAAATTTAATTTTTATCCGTCTTTAAACATTCTCTACTACTACCATTTGAATATTGATGAACAGTTTTATGAGTATTTTAATGATTGTACCAGAATATTAGGAGATGCTATTTTTATCAAAGAGTTTAAATTTTTTTTATCTCTCAAGCCTTTTTGTACTTTTAATAACTATTTGTTATTTATTCATAAATCTAAATATCTTCCTTTATACTTTACATTCTATATTTGCTTTATGTTTTATAATTATGAATTTAATGAGAATGTTATAGTAAATTCTAATTTTATTAAGTGGTTGTCTGTTTGTTTTAATACACTTTATTTTTATGATAATTTTTTAGAAAATAAAAAATAAACTTTAATCATTTTATTCCTTCTGTTGTGGTGCTACAACCATAAAAACATGTCCCATCTTATTTAAATCTACTGAAAATTTTAATGGTGATGACTCATCTCCAAATTCAACAGTTACTTTATCACAACCACTTATCATTTTATTTAATAACTCTAAATACTTTTTACTGAACATCACACTTACTGGTTGACTACAACTTACCTGAATTGAATCATCATTATCTTCTAGAGTTATATCAACTGCTGACATATCTCCATGCTGATTAATCAAGAGTGTACCTTTTTCTACTGTAAATGTCACTAAATCACCAAAGTTGCTTAAATTACTTATCAGTTTTTTAAAAATGTCGATAGTTAAAGTGACTGAAGATTTAGAATCTGTATCATTAGGAGTCTCAAAGATACCTTCTGATGATTTTGCAAGTGAAACAAGATATACAATTGTTGAATATTTTGTATTATTACAAATATTAAGTTCAGTGGGTGAATTTTCAGCTGATATCATCACAACATCTTTTTCATTAGAAACTTCTAATTTCTTAAGAATGCCATTTAATTCAGTTAATGAAACACAAATTTTTAATTCAAAATTATCATTTCTATAAAAACTAAACATATCAGCTGATAAAAAAACACTTACAAAACATACTTGCATTTTATCTATTGTTTGTATCATAATCCCACTTGACTCAAATCTCATAACTATTTCTTTTTCTAGATCACCCATTCCTTGAAATACCTGTCTAAATAGTGTTAATCTTGAGTGAACATTGTCTTCTTTATCAGTTTTCTCAAACTTAATCTCAAGCATTTTAAGGATAAAAATTTTCAATTAAAAATCATTTTATTGTTCTTCAAGTCTTTCTAATTCTTCTATTGTTTTATCAATTGCTTTTTCAATTCTGTAAAATTCATCTGAATCATCAAATATTTCCTGTTGATCTGGAAAGTTAAACTGTCCTCTATAAAAAACTGTGTCTATTTTATCTGATTTTACAACATTAGTTGGTCCATGTAACTTAAGAAAATGTGAAAAGTGTAACTTATCATTATTAAATAATGTAACCTTTATTTGTATTGTAAACTCTCCCCAGCCTAACTGTTGTATCATAAATGGCTTTTTAGTGATTGTTACAACCGGATTAACAAACGTTTCATGAAGTCTGTATGTAACACTTTTTATAAATCCTTCTGGTGCATTAACATACACCTCCCATTTATGTGTTATTTCATTTATTTTTTCTTCTGGTGTTAACATTGTTGCTATTGATCCATAATTTATTACTGCTGTCTTATATCCCGCTGGTATTTTAAAATTTGTTTGAGAGTTCATTTCTATTTACAATTTTTTAAAAAAATTTAAATAAAATCAATTGATTTTTTATTTTAAATAGTTTCTATTAATTTTTTTAAATTAATTTCTATTTTTTTAATAGAAAACTTCTTATTTTTTCTTTTAATTTTTAAACATTAATTAACTGTTTTGATGATTAATTTACTAAAAATATAATTTAAAATCAAAAAATTGTTAAAAATTTTAATGTTAGTGATAAAACTTATAAATTGTGCTCTTACTTTTTTAAATTCTGATAATAACAAATATTCAGCTTATAATGATGATATTATGTCTAATTCTTCAAATGACAATACTTACAATTCCGATGTAAAAGATTTTTGTAATTGTTGGAATAATAGAGAAATTGAAATAAGTGAGAGTTCTTTAAGCAATTCATTAGAGGATTCAGATCCCTCAGAAGATTCTAAAATAACAGAACATTGTATTGTATTTTTAATTATATGCATTATGATAGGATTTTTTTATATTTTTAAATGTAGATTTTATTATTAATAAATTGTGATTAAAAATATACAGTTGTTTATGTTATAATTGCAAGTCACATTGAAGGAGTAAATTTAATTTGAATATTGTTTTTACTTAAAAAAATAAAAATTTTTTAATAACTTCCAATTTAATAATAATAATTTATAATTTTTAAATAATATTAAACAGTCCATTGAGATTTTCTAAGTATTTTGGTTCAAATTCTATTAAACTTATATATTCCACTGACAGATAAATAAATCCAAACATACCATATATTTTTTCAAATTTTTCAAAAATTTCAGTTTCTGAAAAAACATTGACTCTAATTAGTTCAATTTTTGCTAAAATTATTTCTAACTTAATTTTAACATTATAAAACCAATCTAGTTGGTTTTTAAACAGAAGATGATTAATATTATTTTTAAATTCAAAAAATTTAAAAATATTATCAACAATTGTTAACAAATTTTTTTTACTACAAATAAATCTGTATAATGAATTATTAATATCTTCAAAATATTTTTCAAAATCATTGCTATAAACATATTTGCTTTCAGAGTCACTTTTTAGTTGGTCAACCCAATATTCAGTATAATTAAATTTACCATTTTGTAAATTTTCAATCTTTGTTTCAAAATTTTCTTTTAAATAAATATTTCCTCCTAATAACTTATTATTAATTTGTATTTGAAAATATTCAAAATGATCTAATCCTGTTTCTGATGATAATTTACATTTATTTTTAATTTCATTAATATTTTTTAATAAATATAATTTTTCAACTCTTTTTAGTTCATCTATTAAATCTTTTGCGTTTTTATTAATATTTTGTAAAGCAAAGAAAGATGTTAAAAACTCATTAATAAGCTCTTCAGTAAATTTATAAAGCACTTCAATTTTATATTCACCAATTATATTGACTTGATCATTAAAAATATCATTTTTAACCAAAATATCCAATGAAAAAGATTCATTTATAAAACCAGATATAATTTTTTTAGCTTCTTTAGTGAGTGTTTCTTTATCATATTCAATTCTTAATTTTTGTGTATTAGTTAATATTGATTTTTTAAATCTAAAAATCGACATAACATTTTTACTGTCATATATAAATATCTTAAAATACTTATACTCTCTTAAATGTCTTAATAAATACTTACCTTCTTTTATTGTAATATTAAATTTTTTCTTAAATTCCATCATATTTTTTAAAATTTCCATAATAAATGCTTCTAAATATGGTAATGGTTGAAAAAAGTCGTGAAAAGTGTTAATCTATTTATTTTACCATTCTTTTCACCTGACTTTATCATAAAATGTTTTTTATAATATAACACATTAATATTCCTATTAATAAAATCTATACTTTCTTTCAATATTTTAGAACCATATTGTAATAAAAAATACTGATATATATCTAAAATGTTATAATATCCATACATGTTAAACTTATAATTATTTGAATAACTTTGAAAAAATGAATTATCTTGTTATTTTTCAATAATTCTTTTAAAAATATGACAAACTTCTTTTTTAGAATTATATTTAAATGAGGTCAATTTTGATAAAAAGTAAACTACTAATTCATGTTTATCATTTAAAAATTGTGAATAATTAAATGTTGTTGTATCCTTTGTTCTGCTATAAGTTAAATGTTTAGAAATTATGTAGTTGTATTCAATTTCCAACATTTCTTCACTAAAATAATAGTAAATATTATTAACACTAGCACATATTTTTACAATAAACATAACTATTTTAATCATTTTTGAATTTTATAAAATTTTAAAAAATTTTTTATTTAATTTAAAAACCGATCAAAATTAATTTGATCATGTTTTTAAGAAAATAATTCAATTTAAAGTCGTTTAACCCAAAAACTGTTATTTTGTCACAATATTAGAAATATTCTAAAAATTAATTTATTTAATAATACAATAATAATAAAACATTAATTAGTTATAGTTTTTTTTATTAATTAAAATTGTTTTTTTATCAAATTTATATAAAGAGAAATATTTTATATATAAATATATAAAATTGTTATTTAACATTATTCTTCAAATTTTATTGATTAGATTGTATAAGATTCTAATGTAAAGTTATATTTTTTGTTTGTTTATTTTCTTTAAAGATAGTATTTTTTATTAAAATTTATATTATAAACAATAATATGTTTATAAAAACAACCGAATTATTTAAATATGAGATTTATTAAGTTAGATTAAATCTAATAATAAGATTAATGGTTTTTATTAATAAAGATAAAATTTAGATATAAAACTTTTACTTCGAAGATGAAATATTTGAATATCAAGTGAAATTGTAATATTTTAAAATTCATACATGATATGTTTTGAAAATTATTTTTAAACCTATTGTGGTTTTTTTGCTAGTTTAATTATAAATATTTAAAATTCTATCTATATTAATGAAATTTTATAAGAGTTTATGTTAGATACAAAAAACAAAAGTTTACAAATTAATTGATTATTAAAAATTTAAAAAGGTTTTTGTATTTTAAAATCAGTTTTTTAATTATAGTAAATTTCTAATTTGAATCAGATTTAATTTATTAAATAAAAACTTTAAATTTGAAAAAATTATGATATCTTTATTAATAAATATTATTATAGAAAGATTAATAAATATAAAAAAGTAAAGTTTTTGAATGAAATTTATTCATTTTTACGTCTAATCATAATTAGAAAAGAAAAATTAATAATTTGATAAAAAATTAACCACATTAAATAATTCTGTTAAGTTTTTTAAAAAATCAAAATTAGATTCTGATAACGAAATAAATTCACATAAATTATAAAAATGTTCTATCAAAAACTTAAAATTATTTAAACCATCACGATCTTTACTGGTCAAAGAACTATTAATTTTCTTATTAATAAGAAAGATTATATTTTCTAGTTTAATTTTTAAATCATAAAAACAGTCCATTTTATTAAGAAATTGTCTTTCAAAAATATACTTATTTAAATCAAAACACTTTAAAATATCATTCACGTTTTTTAAAAATTGGTTCTTATTTTTTAAATATAAAAAGTAAAGATCTTGTATAAATTTAAATTCTTCTGAATCTTCATCACTGTAACAATAACTTTCCTTTAATTTTGATTTCACATAATTTAACTTAAAATCAATATTTAAAATTGATGAATCTTGAAATTTATCAATCTCAAAATCTAAATCATTTAAAAATTCAAATTCTCCACCGAGCCTCTTATTTTCATATTCAATAAATCTGTCTTTAAAATAGTTAATTTTGGTATCAGGAGGAAGATTAGCTTTTTGTTTTATATGCTCAAAGTTATTAAGTATAAAATGTGTTTCTCTATTTTTTATACCAACAACAATATCATTTAAATTTTTATCTATAACTTGCAATAACAACAGAGCTAAAAAATACCCATCCATTGCTTGACTTACTAAGTTTTCTATTTCCTTTATACTTGGAAATTGTTCTTTTATCTTAAAAATACTTGTCATCAACAAAAACACATCAGTCGTTTTAGAGTTAAAAATGTTCTTAATCAAATTATTTGTTTGATTATTTATCAAATTAAATTTAAGGATTTCTTGATGTGTTTCATTGTTTAGAATATCCAACTCATTCAATTTAGAAATTGATTGTGATAAATTGGTATATAAACATTCCATTGTGTTTTTATGTGCTTCTTTAAAAAGACAAAAATACTTATACTCCTTGATATGAACTAACAATGGTCTACCCTGGCTTTTAACATTATCATCACCGTTTTTTAATATCTTTAATAATAGAACTTCTAAATAATTAATAGGATAAAAATAATCATCTGCTAATGGTTTTTTAAAAGTTTTCTTTAAATTTCTAACTCCAGTTGTCATTGAAAATTCTGTTTGTACTTCAGTCAAATATAAATGGCTGTTTATAAATTCTTTTGTTAGTTTTTTAATCTTATCAAAATATGTGTTTAAAAAACTGTTATAAATGAATATCACTCCACTAATATTAATTGAAAAAATAATATCTTTACCATTAATAAAATTATAAAGGATATCTGATGGTTCCATTCTATCAATAAGAATATTTCTTGAAATCATACAAACTTTTGGTGAAGATTGAAATTCACGTTTTGAATAGTATAAGTTTGTTAATAAATAAACTAATATTTCATGTTTATCATCTAAATATTTTATGTCTGGGTTATTAAGATGTGCGCTTGATCTATGATAAGTTAAATAGGTTTCTGTAGCTAGTTTAAATACATCATTGGGTATAATATTTCTTTGAGGAATTACAATAGATAAATTATTTTCAGCAGATAAAATTGTTTGAATGTAAAAAAATACTTTCATTAAGGGGGTTTTAGGAAATTTTTTTTATAGATACAATGAACAAATTAAATTATAAACCTTTGTGTTTTTTGTTGTTTAAAACAAATTAAAACCGTTTTTTAAAAAAATGATGTTAATTATGACTCAATTGATAAAATTATTTGTAATATTTTTTATATTAGAGAAATTTTATTTGAAAATTACAAATAAAGGGAGAAATAATTGACCAATAAAAATTTATAGTTAAAGATAGATTATAAGTTAAAAATTTAATGGACTAAAATATAAATAGTAAAGAGATTAATAATTGTTAATATTTTCACTAAATATTTATAATCTTCTTATTTTTTTATGTAATTAATAAAAAGATAAATGTTGTCTTGATTAATAAAAAAATTTTTAATTAAAAATAATTTAAAAAACTCTCTTTTTATAGTTTAAATATTAGTTTATAAACACAAATAAAAAATATTATTTATTTAAACATAGAAATCGGTTATTTCTTAGTAAACAAAACTTTTTTAAAGTACAAATCATAAATAATTTAAGATCATATTTTAATTTATAAAATTTCTGAATTAATAAATTTTTTTATAAAATTTAAAAATTTTATAGTTTTAACTAATTATTTATTTAATATAGAAACTTTTTCATTCAAGAAAATTAAATAAATTATCTCATTATTGTAGTAATAAATTTTATTAAAAGTGTTTAATTTACTTCGGAGTAGGGTAAAAAAAATAAGATAATTAGTAAACAGGAGTGTGTGTATTAAATTATAGGATCGATAAATACAAGCCGGGTTTGATATAAAATATTTATAAAAGATAAGAATAAAAATTTTTATGTTTTTTTTTCTAAATAATTTGATTTAAAATTAATAATAGGTAATAATTTTAAAATCTAAAAAAATCATCAATAAAAGAATATTATATTTAATAAGAAATAAACTTTAATAAATAGTAATGAAGATCTCAATGGATATTTTTATAACAAAAAAGGTAATTAAATTATGTTTCTAATATTTTATTAATATTAAATAGTAACATATTTTATTAAACAATCAGTTAGCGATAATAATTTAATAAAAGAAAATAACTAATCATTAATAAATTAACAAAATTTTTTGTTTAAGAATAAGTTGGATTAAAATTGATATTTAAAATAAAGAAATCATACAATATAATTTACAAAACTTAAACCTATATAATTCTGATATCAAATTATTATTAGTGTTGTTTATAAATGATTGAATTTACTATAAAAACTATTGCTTTTTTAAATAATGTTAATTTGTTAAATACGAATAAAGAATTATATAAACTGTTAAAATTTTTTTTTGTTTTTAATAATAAAATTTAATACTGTTTAACATATAAATAATAATATAATAAGTAACAAAAATGTATTAATAAATTAAATAAGTAATTTAAAAAACTTTTTGAAAATGAGAGATTAAAAAAATAATTAGTTAGTAAGAGAATTATTTAAATTTGAAAATATTATTAAGTAAAATAATCAACAGTTTTGTATAAAAAGAGATTAAATTACCTCATTGGAGATTTACATTCAAAACTATTTATTATTAATAAGTTATTTTATTTTTTAAATCTATCAGATTTCTTTGTATTTGATTTATTTTTAGATTGTTTATTTATTAAAAAGAATTGTTTTGGTTATATTTGTTTTATATAAATATCTAGTTAAATATATAATATAAAATTTAGATTCTTAGTTTTGATTAAACACCGCTTTAATAATATTTAACTATTTTTAATTAAAACAAGTAAATTAAAAATATCTCTAATTAAATGATTATATTATAATTATATTGTTTAAAAACCGATTTACAATTTATTTTGTAAATATAAAATTTAAGTTATAAATAGATATTTTTAAATTTCAATTCCTTTTTTGTAAATTTATAAAATAGTTATAATAGTTAAATTTACTATTCAAATATTGATTTAATCAAAAGAATTTAAATGACTTTTTTTATAATTAAAATGGCATATTATTTTGTTTTAATAAAGAATAAAAATTAAAAAAATTAAAATACCCCTAATGAT